CAAAAGATGCAACCACAAAAATTGGCACCTACAACTGAGGTGGGATGTGGTCTACAGAAATTCAACACGTTCTCTGAAAAGCGTGCAAAAACTTTGACAATTTTTTTTCTATATTTTCCCGATTTTTTTTGGCAATTTTGATGAAACCAAACAAGGCGAAGCCAAGTTTGGGTCGGGTCCAAATGGTGTCAAGAAGCTGCTGAAAAAATTTCAGATTTTTCGGATAAACGAGCGAAAAGTTATGCCTGTTTTACCGAAGGTATCTCAAGGTATGTTTTCCGGGAGGCACAACACGGCGGCGGCAATTAGGGCAAAGCGTCCCGAAACTCTAACACCGATCACAGCAGTAGGTATTCGCCTGATGATGTAAGGAGGGCTGCGATGCAGGCAAAATAAGAGCGGCTGGCAACCTATCTAGGGTTTGCGCGGCGGCGAGAAGTTACACAAGGCGGCTAGCGGGGCAAGTCGAGTAATGTGGTGGCTTCGACTTGTTGTGTGGGAACGGTGGATGGGATAGCGGCGGAAAACAAAATCACAGCAACGGGCGATTGAACTACGACCACGAACACAATCCTAAACCAGCAACAAGACTCGACCACGGACACAAACTCAACAACACGAATCTGAAACGAAATTGCAAAGGCACAAAGGGCGATAGGACAGCGGAAATTGAAATATTTTTGGGCTTTTTGTGGACTCTAGGTAATGAACAAATATGAATCTAAGGCAAACGAGATTATACCTCGCGGTAAACCTGAAATATCTGATACCAATTGATGGGTACAGGCCCGATCTTCCGAGAGGTAGCCGGTAAGTTCGATTTGTGGAGATCTCGACGTTGGCGATCCGGCTTCAAATCAGACACGATTCGAACCCTGCAACCGTTACACCACCGCTCCGTTGGTTATCAACCAAGCACAACTTGATTGACCTCGCCAAGAAGGCTTTTCCTGCAAGCGAATCGAAGAGCACAAGCAAGAAGGTAAAACACGCAATCTGAAATTGCAAATATGAATGACGCGAATATCAATAGAGGGTTCAAGAACTCGGTTCCAAAGGACTAATCGACACAGTGGAGGAGATCAAGAACGGGGGCCCTGGATCACTGTAAAAGGATTTGTCACCACAGTTACAATGAACGATTCAGTTTCTCGATGGAAAACTAAACTCTAAACAAAACCCAATTGTGTAGCAGCGGCGACGGCTGTGTTTATAGTCTAAGACTCGACCTAGGGTTGGGGACGGCCAGGGGTTGGGCGCCCACAACTTGGGCTTAAGGCCCGACACGATACATGGCCAAGTTGGCCCAAATAGGTGACGCAGCACCTTGTCGTGGTCACACAGAATGATCCACGGACCTTCTGGAGCTGGGACCAGATCCAAAATGACGGCGTCGTCGTCCCCTTTCCAACGCATCCAAGAACGGCCCGTTTCGACGTCGTATGAGGAAGTTATGACCGAAACAGTGACGACGTGTCTGCTGAATCCGAGGGTGACGTGGCAGCTGAGTTGGGAACGAATTGCAACTTGAGGAAGACCATGGCGTCGGTGTGTCCAGCGTGGCGATGTCCTCATCACTATTGCCAATGAAAACAATATTCTTTGTCATGTTGTTGATCTTAGCAAGATCACTGAGGTTAGTGAAAGGATGATAATAGTGTTGAGACATTGGTGGGGTTGTTGTTCCTTGTTGTTTCGATTGTTTTTCATTGTAGTCATCGTGCTCAAGTGCTTCGCCTTTTCGTTTATCCAAAGACTTTCTTTAGGCTGAAGTAGATCATATTTTGGACGATGTAGTCCAAGACTTAGTGAGTGAAGCTGCTGATGTTGTGATTTCGGAGGATGATTAGATGCCATGTAGTGATTGTAAAAGCACAAAGTATTACTTTGAATAAGAACCCTCACTATGTATGGGTTGTAATGAATTGTTCAGTTGTACATTTCTCTTTCAAAATAATTAAAGCTATGTTTTGTGAACCAAATTTTTGGGCAGAGCACTATTTGGATGTTTTCCTATTATTAAACGTCATCATTTCATTTTTGCGGAGATGGTGCATAGGTTTTATTTTGGATCTTGACTTCATTTTTTTAGAACGCCATCCATTCACTATTTAGTGAAGGTAATCACATAGATTTCGCTTAGAAGGTTAACTTTGTTTGTTTTGAAAATGAAAACACTGTCCCTTCACTTTTTAGCGAAGGCGACGCTTAGGCTTCGTTTAGAAGCTTGGCTTCACTTGTTTGTGAAAAATGAAAACGCAATCCCCTCACTTTTTAGCAAAGGCAGCGCGTAGGCTTTGCTTAGAAGCTTGGTTTTACTTGCTGTGAAAAAACATCATCCCCTCACTTTTTAGTGAAGGTGACACATAGGCTTCGCTTATAAGCTTGGTTACACTTGTTGTTAAACATGAAAACACCATCCCCTAATTTTTTAGCCAAGGCGATGCTTAGGCTTCGCTTAGAAGCTTGGTTTCAGTTGTTGTGAAAAATGAAAATGATGTCCCCTCACTTTTTAACGAAGACGACATGTAGGCTTCACTTAGAAGCTTGGTTCACTTGTTGTGAGAAATAAAATGCCGTCCCCTCACTTTTTAGCGAAGGCGATGCATAGGCTTCGATTAGAAGCTTAGTTTCACTAGTTGTGAAAAATGGAAACACCGTCCCCTCACTTTATAGTGAAGGCGACACTTCGGCTTCGCTTAGATGCCTGGTTTCACTTGTTGTGAAAAATGAAAATGACATCGCTCACTTTTTAACGAAGGCGACGTGTAGGCTTCGCTTAGAAGCTTGGTTTCAGTTGTTGTGAGAAATAAAAGGTCGTCCCCTCACTTTTTAGCGAAGGCGACACCTAGGCTTCACTTAGAAGCTTAGTTTCACTTGTTGTGAAAAGTGAAAACGCCATCTCCTCACTTTTTAGTGTAGGTGACACGTAGGCTTCGCTTAGAAGCTTGGTTTCACTTGTTGTGAAAGACATAGAGACTTCACTTGGTAGCTTTTTTTTTGTTAAGTTGGATAGGTTAGTGTTAATCTTTGTTGTAACAAGGAATAATGCTACCTATTTTCGCTTTTAGCTTTGCTAGTATACTCTGGATATGCTCGTCGACATTTATACCAATGTGTTTCGGGGAATATATCTCATTTATATTTCATGAGAGTTATAATAGAGTCTGCCTCGCTAAAAAACCATTCACACTACAAAGGGCTTCCCCTGAGTGGAAAAAGAGTACAACTCGTTTACATTTGAGTAATGAGGCTTCAGCTTATTCTATATATCTTTTGCCTTAGTGAGTTCTCTCTTACTTTTGCTTGACATTCTTCAAGTTCCTTCTGCTTAGCTTATAGTTGACCGTGTAGTTCCTTGTGCCTTTGTTCTTCGGCTTCGTTTGTGTTTTGGTTTGAGGCACTTGGGTTTGGGGGTCCTTGCTTTGTTTGGTTGAGACCTTGCTCTTCATCGGTTCAAGGTGGTTCGTCTTCGTTTTCAGTATGTGTTGTTTTCTTTCCGGGTCTGCCCATTGTGTTTTTGTGGTCATGGGTGTTTTTGAGCACACACAAATGGTGGGCGCCAGATGTTGGGTAAGATAACTCATGCAAACATCGATGAATAGAATAAGCTCCATTGGCTATTCATTTCATGTCCCTGAACAGTACATGACAAGGGGTATTTATAGAGATTATAGCCTTCGTTATTCCTATACCCTTAACTAGATTAAGTGCATCCCCTTTTTCTCTTAGGGGCAAACCAGTCATTAATTACATCTTTGATTCAATGTATTACACATACTAAGCAATTCCCTAGAGTGAAGGTGTTGTTGGCCAAGGCTTCGTGTCCCGGAGGCCAGTTGGTCTTCTCTTGTTTACTTTTGACTTCGCCGTCGTGACTTCGTGCCTTGGTTGATGACGAAGTGAATCAACAGACTTTGTTCTTTATTCTTCGTCTTATGCTTTTAGGCTGAGTAGTGAAGGTGTCTTCGCTTTCTTCACTTGGTCCTTCAAACGAAGATGCTTCCTTAGGCCAGTCTTAGTGGAGAGTTTCATTGCGTTGTTTGTAAGACTGCCATGTCATTTAAAATGAAACAAAACTTGGATGAAACACCCCCTCTCAATGTAAAGTTTCATTCCATAGTTTTATAGCCATTTAATTCTAAGACTCATAAAGAGTTGGTAATCGTGGCAATATGAAACTCATTTCTTCTTTCTCTTCATTAAAACATTGTCACGTCATTAAAAATACATATGTGTCAGGCTATTAAATGCAAATAAAATTCCCACTGAGACTGACCATATGCAAAGGGCTGAAAAGAAACCATTAGTTATAACCGAAGTCTCGGGGGCTATGTTTGTCTGAGGTTAAATCCCTAACAGAGCCCGTTGCCATCGACTCGCTGTGGTCTTTGCCTCGGCAACTAGTTTCGCTTGGCGACGACCTGTTCTGGAGTTAGCAAGACCGGTTCTCTATGCATCGTATTTTTCGTGGCATCAATGTATCCAATAATGTTACATGGCAATCCTTGATGCATTCAAGGATTGTTTGGTTGGAGGCTTACAGCTGTTGGATGCTCTATCAAAGTCCGACGCCTGGAGACGTTAGTATAGCCCAGACAGCCTTTTTCAACTCTCTTTAACTAAACAACCACTCATTTTGCGTGTCAACATCATGCAGTTTTTGAAATAGTTGACAATAGTTACAAGTCAAAAGTCAAGTTACCACATGAGTTCTCACTTCTCAGCCAAATTGTAAGGATTTTATCTCCTGTTGCAACGCAGACATATTTTCTAGTACTCATGTGGTAACTTGACTTTTCGCTAATCTCATTCCGTGCAAATCGAAGCTCCCATCTCACGACGTTGAACCGTGCTTGCAACCAAACGGTTCATTCATCAAGTTCATGGATACGTGGATATATAACAAAAACATATTACAGTAACTTCGTACAGTATTATTTAGTTCTATGAAGCACCGATGAGACGATGCAGCCTGCAGATTCTTGTGCAGTACGTGATCAAGCGCCGGACGTGGACTCGGAGCCGTCGTCGCCGCTGCCGCCGATGTCAACTTCGTTTACCCCTGGCGTGGGGAACAGGTCATTGCAGAGTTCGCCATAGAACCTGCACACCAGGTCGACGAAGACCGGCGACTTGAGCCGCTCCCAACACCGCAGGAGCTCCTCCACGTCCTGCAGGTCCCTCGCTTTCCCCTCCTCCACCAGCATCTCCATCAGACAGCTCTCGAAGCTCCGGCACGCCTCCTCCTCCTCCTTGTCCCCGTCCTCTCCGCCTCCGCTAGCAGCGCTCCTCTCTGACCGCAGCCGCGTCACCACCTTCATGTAAGCGGGCGTCTCTGGGGACGACACCGGCGCGATCACCGGAGTCTCGTGCACCACTGCTTGCGGTGCCGGTACTGCCCCCCGCGCGGCCTCGCCTTCTGCTGTAGAGGTCGCCGGCGTGGTCGACGTCGGGACGAGCGGCCAGAAGACAGCGCGCACCGACCGGAACGTCTTGCGGCAGCGACGGCGGCGTGGGCTCATCCTGGCCGCTGCCTTCCGGAGGTTACGGAAGCGGAAGGCCCTGACGGAGAGCGCAGCGGATACCGGGACGCGGAACAGCCGCGTGAGTGCTCGCCCGCATGGCGCGAGGATGCCGCATGTCACGCAGGAAGGCGGTTTGTTGTGAGACGAGGAAACAGGCATCTTTTGTGAGTTATAGTTCTAGAAAGTGATGGGCGCGCAGCATCAAACTGTTGATTTGGAACGAGACCGCATGATTTGAGCTGCGTATTTATAGCTAAGGAACCCGAGGTTTGTGGTTCACTGCGTGCGTGCCTCCTTGTCGTTGCAGCGATGTGGTGTACATGTTCATACATGCATATATAGCATTATTGTATTTGCCATAAGAATTGGGTAGCATTAGATGCCATAAGAATTGGGTACCACTAAGAAGTTGTGACCCTGATATGAGCCATTTAATAACGAATGTGAGTGCCTGCAAATATGATTAGTTGATTACCAATTATATATTAGCAAACGTGCATGTCACATTGCAACGGAACATGCATCTTGTTACGCGGTCACCTGAATGATTTGTAGCTTTAGCTTAAAGATATATGTAACAACATCTCTTCCAATAGGTATTGGAATATGATTCCGTACCATCGATGGATGCATAAATGTGCATAGTTCTTTCTTGTCTCAGGCCAGACCATGAGTCCGTATCCTAGATATATAAGGCAAAGACAGACGCAAGGGCGTTATGGGAAGTAAAAAGAATATTGGAGGAACCAGTACAATCTTTAAGATCGGACTAGCAAATGTGTTCGTGTGCTACATTGAGATCTAATACATCTTGAAATGAGAATACATACCATATCATTGGGCGAGAGTGGTTCAAATTCATAAGAGCACGGGTCGTGAGTCTAGCTCACATTAGGAACGTGGAGGCCATAGAGGTATTTTAGGAAGTAAAAAAATACGGTCGAAAGAATATCTTTGCTCTTTGATAACGATAATGCTTCACGTACTGCGGGCCTCCGTCCCGCATTGTCCATCCAGATGCTCCTAGTTGGGCCTGCAGACCGGCCCATAAGCCTGCTCCCCTTACCACGGCATACACGGTTTCTCCAAAAAAAAGAAAAGAAAAGAGAGTGACATTTTTTCCCATTTCACATCGGCCGCCGCAGTGTTCCCCACCCTCGACGGCATTGCTGCCCGACCGGGGAGACCACCGCCACTCGCCCGTGGAGAAGACCACCGATGCCGTCTCCACCACAGGGGCCAGATGCCAGGTCAGGGGCCAACAAGACCTCTGCCTCCGACGCGTCGTGGCCCAGCGTCCGCAGCCATGTCCACCTCCTGCTCACGGCCATCGCTGGGAGCACCCCGCAAGCTAGCCCTATCGTTAGGGCCATCGCCTCAGTGGTCGTGCGGCGAACGCTATGTTTCAAGTGTTTCATGCGCTTCAGACTTTTGTTTCAAATGTTTTATGTGGATGTTGCAAAAGTAGATCTGGATGTTGCAAATGCATTCAAGTGTTTTAGGCGTTTCAGACTTTTGTTTCAAGTGTTTCATCTAGATGTTGCAAAAGTAGATCTAGTTGTTGCATTGACAGAATATGCATGTTGCTAGCCTATGTTTCAAGTGCTTCAGGTGTTTCAGATGTACGCTGCACATGTTTCATCTGGTTGTTTTAAAAGTAGATCTTGATGTCGCACATGTTGCAAATGCCTATACACGCATGTTTCAATCACATGTTTCAAGTCTTTCATCTGTTTTCAGACAAATGTTACAAATATTTCATCTAGATGTTTTAAAAGTAGATCAAGTGTTTCACATGCTGCAATAGAGCTGATGGCTGACGGACAGTGGCCTGCCGCAGGGCTTCGCCTCCTACCTCGTGCCTTCCTCGCGCGGCACGACGCGCCTCGCCCTGTCCTCTCCTCTCCTCTCCCTCCCCGACCTTCCCTTCCCTCCATCTCATCGTGGCAGTTCAAGCTCGGCCGATGAGCACGCGTAGTCATGGACATCGGGTAGGCGCAATAGCAGGCACGGGGCGGGCAGGCAAGCGCAACAGGTTGCGCAGGAGACAGGGCAGGCGCGGGCGTCCGGATGGGGGCTAGCATCCGGACGTCCGGGCGCTAGCCATACCTCTTTAATAAGGGTGCCATGAAGCATACAAAATCTTCTGCTAAATGTGAATGGGCAATGGTAATACATTTGAAAACTCTTGAGGGTTGTTGAGTAAGCGAGACCCTCTGTCTCTCTTATTATTCAATATATAGTGGTGATGCTCGTGGTGTGTTTTTGGACAAAGGATTGAATGAAAATCATATCAGTCCACGCACATTTAGAACCCGTAAATCGATGTGCATGTCTACTAGCTTGAACACAGGCAAGCACATCAAATTTTATTATTCAGTGGTTGCAAACTATAACGGTCACAAATCATATATCTCTCTATTCTTATTGTTCATCACCTCTATCGATGAGATTCGGGTCGTTCTAGGTGGCTTTCCCGAGCCTAGGACGACCTCGCTGTGACCTTTCCCGATGGGTCATCCCTATGGTGTTCGGGAGTCTACCAGACGAAGAACAGGCGTCAAATTGGTCTAACTGGCTTGCTGGTCGGTTTCGTTGATTTGTTGTGTTCTCGCTGCGATCTAGGTCGTGTGCGACTTCGGTGGTGCTAGCCCTTGCTAGGGTGTGACCAAATCGACGTCAACAGATGTTTAATTACTTCGAGAGTTTATGTTTTCAAGTTTCAAGTTTATTTTAATTCCATGATCATAGATACTAGTGGGGACCCAACATATCAATTAGACTTACAAGGAACCACAAGATCTAATTAGTTGCACAAAAAGAAATGCGTTGACTCTCAAAGCATATTACTCCTCAAACTCAGGTTCTTAGCATATTATTAAGTTTTTAAAATAAGTATGTTTTCTTCCAAACAAAACACTCCTATGCATTAGATCGTGGCAAGCACTCATCTATCAAATTGTACTGTCTAATCACAAAAAAAGTATTCTCAAGAGAAAATAAAACTCTATGTATTTTTCGATTCTGCAAATATTTTTATGGAAGGCTTTATGCGTAGTGTAGTAAGAGAAACAGAAGTTAAAGCGCAATACATGTATCCTAGAATATTGACAAAACATGATGGCATTATACTTGGGTATACTAATAATAACTTGTCCAAAAGACCATTTGAAAATAGTGTAAGAGAAGAAAAAACACGTGCTTTAGAAAGGTCGACATGTGCAAAGGGCAAGGGTTGATCTTGGGCACACGCGGAGTCACCATTGTGGAATGCACATGGTCGGAGGAATATGACTTGTACCATAATGTAATGCTCCTACTTGAAGATGAAAGGTTTTATGCACAACTGTTTTTACGGATGCCATCATTACTGCAAACTTTTTTTTTTTTGCCAGCGCATTAGAGTGCATGCTACGATTCCTCTCCTCCATGGCTAAGCGATGCTTATCCTATAGATAGGAGAAAGTAAATTGATTTGGTGCATTGCAAGGTCTTATGCAAAATACTAGTATTTTAAGATAGAGCCTTTTTTTTCATTTTTCATTTTTTTCTTTTTTTGTCTCGCAGTCCATCTGAAAAATTATTGTCTTGATATGGCATTTGTCTTTGATAATATATATTAATGAGTTGTGGATAAAACATAATATAATGTACTGGCTCAATGGGTTGTGAGCAAGGCATAGACCAAAAACACAAACGTGTGGTTTTAATATAAGTGTTGGTACGTAAGCACTCATTCTTGTATTGGAAGTGCACATTGTAGTAGTTATAGCTTTTATTAGAATATTACATAGTTTATATTAAACTCAAGGAAACTAGGTACAACATTTTAATCTTACCAAAGTGGCAAAGTGTTACCTAAACATGTTCTAACGTCTCCGTGAGAACCCAAGAGAGATAGGGGTGTATTGAGTGCCTAACTAAAAACTTAAACTTATAGCTTAAAAGAATCTGCCACTCTAACTAAAAACTTAAACCTATAGCTTAAAAGAATCTGCCACTAGAAAAAACATAAACTAGTTCTAGCATGATGTCCACCTATGTTTTTTTTGTGTTCTCTAACTTACCTTTTAACCCATAAAGAGTTTAGAAACACAAAGCCATTTCTATCAACTAGTGTAAGCCTAATCTAAAAAGGTAAAGGTCGCACAAGCAAAGCACAAACAAAAGCAATAAATGTAGTATGCCATGAGCAATAGTTATAGAGGGCAAAGTCATAGAAGCGAGACCATTTAACCCATGGCACAAATTTCCTAAATGCAACCCTTAGTTCACATTGGAGTCCCATCAAGATACACTACAGGTCACCAAGCCTTCCTTCGGTCTTGGTGGTAGGCTAGCCAACCAAGGCAAGTGTGGTAAGCCAATACAATTGTAGTGACCAATGATAAATTCAATTGTTTTGTAAGGATAATTCGACATTGTATCTCCATGTCACCACTAATTAATTCTATGTATACCTAAAACTGGTCCGAGAAAATTTGAATGGAAGCATATCTTGTGTGTATATGCTTGCCATAAAATTTTCAAATGATTTTAATAAAGGGCCATATACATCATTCACAAAATGAATACACATCATGTAACATAAAGGGTCACAACATAGGTTTATAACATGCAACCGAGGTAAAATTTATACAACAAACTTATAACACTTTTTCTAGCATTTATTGAGCATTTCTAACATACCTTCATATTTTTCACCAAAAAACAAGGATTATTTTTTTTTCTGTCAGGTCATATACAACTCGGGAGCCACCAAAACACCGAAGCCGCTGAACAACCAACTAGGCAACCCATGCAACAATATAGTTGCCCGCGCATTACTCCCAATGCACAAAAGCTTCAACGTGGTTTTATCTTAATAAACATTCTTCTGAAACCTTCAAAACCTAGTCACTCCTATGCTCAAGATGGAGGGATACTTTCTAGGGATCATTAGGAGGAAGAATATAAGAATGGCCACTGTGCACTCCACCTTATGCTTCACCGTAGCCCGCATGGCCCTATTTACTATATGGCACGCTTGGTTGGGGATAATTGAAAGGAGCAAATGAGAGTTTGGAGGTACGAGTTCACAAACCTTTTGTTTGTTTTGTGGGAGTGGGAATTTTGGTTGGAAGGGGAAAGGGAATGGGAGTTTAGAGGGCCAACTCCCA